TCCAATACACTGTTGAATAGAAAAGGCAAGCAAGATATACTTTTCAAATTCCCTGATTCTAAGGGGGGAAATCATTCAGTATTTTGAAGTTAGTTATGCTGTGAGGTGTTTTATTGATAACCTTTATCTGGCTGGGGATATTCCCTTCTACTCCTAGCTGAATTTGCCAGATACTCCTCATTTCTATTGAGATACTCACGTAGATTTTATCTCTTAGTAATGTGGGTGATTACCTTGCCTTCTTGACATAAACCATATTGCATCATAGCATACAATGCTTCTTAGATGTTGCTCAACCAGGTTCGCTGATACCTTGTTGAAATTTTATCCATGACATAGCACTGTCTCTAATGCTATTTTATACCAGTATAAATCCCCATCACCAAGGAAATAGTTACATTGATTGCTTAACAGTTTCAACAAAAACATGAAGCAGGACTATATACAATAATGTGTATGATCTTTGAGACCAATCATGTTTTTTTAAAACAGCAAATATTTATTAAAATGTTGTAGTAAAATACAATATTAAGTTATAATGCTGCTACTGACATTCATGTACAATGTGGACAGATATAAGTATTATACATATTTATGTTTATCCAGATATATGTGAGAAAGCATATATAAGTGACCACATATCAAACTGACGAAGGTGTTTCTTTTTTTTTTTTTTAAAGATTTATTTATTTATTGTGTATACAGTATTTTGTATGCATGTATGTCTGCATTCTAGCAGAGGGCACCAGATCTCATTACAGATGGTTGTGAGCCACCATGTGGTTGCTGGGAATTGAACTCAGGACCTCTGGAAGAACAGTCATTGCTCTTAACCTCTGAGCCATCTCTCCAGCCCGACGAAGGTGTTTCTAATAGGATAAATGGAATAAAGTATGCTTAAGATTCAACTATTCATAAAAGTCCTAGTCTATTATATATTTTATGTAAACTTAAAAAATAGAAATTGTTTTATTGTAAAAGTGATTTCACTGGTATATATAAACCCATGTTCTAACAAATTATACTACAAGCTAGGGGAAATTCCTGTCCCTTCCCTCTCTGCCCTGTCCCTTAGAGCCTCACAGACCTGCCTACACAAGTAGCTGGTGTCATTAGGACTCTCTCTCTTTCCCTCTCTCTCCCTCTCTCTCCCTCTCTCTCTCTCTCTCTCTCTGTCTCTCTTGCACACACACACACACACACACACACACACACACACACACACACACACATCCTAGTAACCTTACAGAGCAGCAGAACTGTACCTGGGTCAGTGCAATGGTTAATCTTCACTGTCTACTTGCTTGGATCAAGAACTGCTTAGGAAATAAGTAGACTACAACTTGGAGTAGTCACGGGGAGCTCCTACCCACACCTGGATCAATTGCTTCATGGATTCACAATATGGTGACACTAATTAGAGGTATTAAAAGAAAGAAGAAGGGCCTCTGAGTGTGACCCTGTGACTATATCTTTTTTGTTTTGTTGGCTTCGGGATGACAAAGTCACACTATGTATCCTTGGCTGGCCTGGAACTCACTATGTAGACCAGCCTATGCTTGAACTCATAGAGATCTGCCTACCTCTGCCTCCTGAGTATGGCATTAAAAGTGTGTGCCACCATGTCCATCCTGAAGCTGTATCTTTTCCCTGGCCTACTATGGTTATATTGTATACAATATATGTTATCTATAAAATGCTTTGTTTCCATTGTATAATTCCATATAAATAACCTTACCTTCACATACTGAAATGCAGAATAGTATATCTATTCTTGTTGTAATCAGCAAAAAAGAAAAAAAGAGTAGAGATGGATAGCAGCATTTAACATTCATAAAACTCTTTCCCATTGAAAAAGATATTTACTGTGAGAACAGAGAACAGGGTGCTGTCATTTGTGAAGCAGGGAAGTTCCTTTTTAGCCTAAGATTGAATGGCTTGTGTCATGAAGAGATGGTGAAGTTAATCCATTGTTTTTGTGTGTCTATTGAAGTCGTGGTGTTGTTTTTCTCCCCAACAATACAAGACCTCAGAGCAATCAGACAGTATTCATATTCTGTATGGTTTAGATCAGTGGTTCTCAACCCTTTAATACAGTTCCTCATGCTGTGGTGACCTCTAACCATAAAACTATTTTCATTACTACTTCATATTGTAATTTTGCTACTGCTATGAATTCTAATGTAAATATTTTGAAGAGAAGGGTTTGCCAAAGGGGTCGCAACCCACAGAGGTTGAAAACCACTGGTTTAGATGATGTGTGGATCTGTAAAACAATGTTCTTGCTACTTCTTATATATGGTGCTTGCTTAACTTTACATGAATGTTTGTGCAGCACGTGGCTGTATTTTAAATTCTACTTGTACTTTGCAAGAATATATAGCATCAGCTTGATAGAGAAGAACACGTGTGTGTGTGTGTGTGTGTGTGTGTGTGTGTGTGTGTATGCGTGCGCGTGCACGCTTGTGTGTATCTTTGTCTTTAAATGCACTAAGATATGTTGTAAAGCCTGAAACTTTTTTTTAGTGTGATGTAGTATGTCAGTGTTAGTTTTTAGGTTTACTAGGTTGCTTCAATTATTGAGCACTATTTTTTTTTAAACAGACTTAATTCACTTTATTTTTCTTGTATAAAACCCCCCTTATGTGGTGGCAACAGCTGGAGCCTGGGTCCTCTGAACAGAGACTCTGATATGGGCTTTCACAAGATGGTCAGTGAATTCCTGATAAGGAGACTTGGTGAACACAGTCTCTTTCCAGAGGTCAGGGGTCAGGTAGCTGTAGGTCTTAGAGATGGCATCAAAGGTGGCCTTGGCAAAGTTGTCCAGGGTGTCAGTGCAGCCCCTGGCTGATGTGTAGCAGTCATCAATACTGGCCATCATCAGTAGCTTCTTGGGCACAGGAGCAGAGACGATGCCAGTGCCTCTGGGGGCAGGGATGAGACGCACCAACACAGAGCCACAGCGGCCTGTCACTTTGCATGGAGCAGTGTGGGGCTTACCAATCTTGTTCCCCCAGTAGCCTCTCCTCACAGGGACAATGGAAAGCTTAGCCAAGATGATGGCCCCTCGGATAGCTGCGGAGCATTTAACACCAAGACCAACATGACCATTGTAGTCCCCAATAGCGACAAAAGCCTTGAACCTGGTCCGCTGGCCAGCCCTTGTCTGTTTCTGTACTGGCATGATCTTTAGAACCTCATCCTTAAGAGATGCCCCCAAGAAAAAGTCAGTAATCTCGGATTCCTTAATGGGCAAAGAGAAAAGGTAGATCTTCTCCAGGGACTTGATCTTCATGTCCTTAACCAGTCGGCCCAGCTTGGTGACAGGGACCCACTCCTTGTCTTCGGCTTTACCTCCACGAGCCCCACGGCCTGGACCACGGCCTGGACCACGACCACGGCCCCTGAGACTGCTGCCGAAGCCTCCGCAGAAGCCGCTGCGGCCTCCTAATCCTGGGCCCCCGGGTCCTCCGGGCCCTCCCGCTGCACCAGCATCATCCGCCATTTGGTGTTTTCCCAAAGTAGAAGAAGCTTGAGCACTATTTTTTATAATGAAAGGGCATCTGTTGTATGAGGAAATTAATATGTTAATAACCCCTCCAGATATTTTTCAAGCCTTCATGTAGCTAGACCTAGAAATCTGTAAATGTAAGGGACTTATATATATAAGTCCCTTTACTGTTTTAATGATCACATTTGGGACTTAGAGCATCCTCACAGAGGCTGAGGGAAAGGCAGACCCCAGGCTCAAACCTAAACACAGGTGTAAATGATTACCAGCCTGCTCTTCAGAATCCCAAAACCACATTGGGTCACTTACTGACACAGTGTCCCCAGTAACCCTGGCATTCCCTGACTCACTCCCTGATAGCCGCCAGGCATTTCCACCCTGAATGGTTACTAACTACCCACTTCCAGCACCATGAGCAGACACACATGCACAGCTCCCACTCTGTGGAAATAATCAAGGAAGCAGGAAAAGGTATACACCATGACAGCCACAGAAATCATCACCAGGGCAGTGGAGACAGGCTATGGTGCCCAGCAAGGGAAGGTGATGGTTTTGTTGTAGAATGGATGTCTTTGCTTTTTGTTATGTTATGAATCTGTGTACATTTGGAGGAAAGTCAAACTGTGACAGAGCATTCAGGAGCCAGCAGATGTGTGGGGACCAGAGCACTACCTATGAGTGCCCCTGTTGATTCCAGGCAGCCCTAACAAAATCCCATGGCTGGGAGGGAGGCAGAAACAATAGAATTGTGGTCCTTACCTTAGTTAGCATGGAGACAAGAAGTCTGAGACAAAGGTGTGGGCCAGATTGGCCCGTCTCTGCTGGCTTTTGGTGGTGGGCATTCGGGTGCTGTTTGGTATATAGAAGCATCATTCTAGTCTCCACCTTCATGTTCTCATCATACCTGTGTGCAAATCCCTCCTTCTTCAAAGATATTTTGGGCTGGTGAGATGGCTCAGCAGATAAAAGTACTTGCCATCAAGCTTGATGACCTGAATTTGGTCCCTAGGACCCATGTGGTAGAAAGAGAACTGCCTGCACCGTGACACACACACAGTAAACAAATACGTAAATCTAATTTTAATAAAAAGGTGTCCTGTCAGATTGTATCAAGGGCCTCTTGACTGCAATAGGATGTCATATTAGCTAAATACGTGTGCAACCATCCTATTTCCAAATGATGCCACACTCTAACACACAAAATCACCTAAATATCTCTAAAGGGTTGAATTACATCCTTACTTGTGTTCATTGCCCTCTGGAAAGGGACTAGGTTCTGGGATTTAAAAAATGCATGTTCAAGAGAGGAGACTGCAAATCAACATAGAGTACATACAATGGAACATTCTAGAAATCAAATGGCCAACAAATGGTTGGGCTTAGAACTCTGAACTCACCACAGGGGGTGTGGTTGGGCTGTTTAGATTCTGTAGGGGCCTCTGATCCAGGACCGAGGTGTGCTTCAGTTACATGTCATCTGTCACCACAGGTTATATTGAAGCTGCTGTCATTCCTGCTGGTGCTCGGAGGATCCGTGTGGTAGAAGACAAACCTGCTCACAGTTTCCTGGGTAAAACAGAACTCATCCACTCAAAGTTGCTGCTCTAAGAGTTAGCTCTGGTGACTAGATTCTGGGAGCTCTGCACCATTGTGTAGATGCACTCTCCCTGTATACCTTCTCCCAGGTTAACCCCGGTGTTACACTGTGTTTTCACTGTGATAACATAAAAGCTCAAAATGGACCAGAGAGTACTTTTGGCAGCCAGATCCAAGGTATGTTTGGGATGGGTGGGTAGGATAGAGTCAGTTAGAACCATCACTCTTGAACAGGATTGAAAATGAGAATGTGGAAGAATTCATGAGGTGTTGGGGAGCTATATTCCCCAAAATTGCTGCTGGATAGGCCAGTGCAGTTATCCCAGGCAGCATAGACTATGGCCTATCCTTTAGCAAACCCCTGCGGGTCCTCTGGAGATGCCTCTTACTGAGGGAAGAGCAATGTTCCTAAGATGAATGGAAATACAAAGCAGTGCTGGCCTTCGCTAAGCTCTGGGTACCTAACTGCATAGTAACCAACACTGCTGACTTTGAGCACCCAGGCCATCTTCGGCAATGCTGGCATCAGAATCTTGTCATTTAGTGTCACCCCCAAACTGACCATCCCCAACGGCTGCATTAGAAATATATCATTTTGCCATGGAATCATGATTCTACACCCAAGGCAGGCACTGAGGCTCCACAAGAGGCCATGGTCCACTTTTGCCCTTTTCTTACACATTGATGAACCCAGGGTATAGGAGGTGACCCAGCTCTGAGTGCTCCATATCATTCCTTCCATGAAGTATCAATAGGTACTCAGCAAGTGAAGTCCTGGGCTCCTAAGATGCCTGAGCATCTACCCTGCCTGGCCCATCCCCATGGGCCTGGATGAAATGATAAGTCTTCCTCCATTTTCTGTGGAGCCTAAACATGACAGAGGATGATATCATAATCAATAAATCCTCAATATCTAATCCCTAGAAAATAAAGGAACTCTTCATTGGAACCGCATCAGGGTCAAGAAAAAAACAAACAAACAAAAACAAAAAAATCAAACCCTAGTGGCTGCTGCTAGAGGGCAGGGAGCTCACTGTCTTAGTTGGTTGTCAGCTCTACTGTGGAAGCCTAGAGGCCACCTATGCAAAGGACAGTAGTAACGTCCACGTTTGTGGTTCCCAGTCACTGGACAGTACTGTGCTTTGGAGACCTAGCCCCCATATCCCAAAATACCACAGAGTATTGCTATTTGCAGAGGCCTACTTGCATGCTTAGCTCATCACTCCATCTGAATCCACTACAGTCTGGAGCCTCTCAGAATTGCCAGTGGAGTCCCAGGACCCAAGGATGACTGATGGAGATGACATTTCGTTGTGTACACTGCAGAGAAGTTAATCTGTATCCCAAGAAGATTGATTAAATGTCTGAATGACTCGGCTCCCAGAAGCAGTGCTGCGCCTCCATGGGAGCTTGGAGCCAGCCTTGGTCCCCTTATCTTACCCACAAATTTATAATCCTGGTATTCCAGGCACTGGCACACAGTCGGGAGCAAGCCTGAAGGTGGTCCACACTTGCTCATTATGTTTCTAGCGTCAGCTCCAACAGGCCGTGTTTCCACTCAGGGCTAGGAGCTTTGGAAGTCAACCCAGTGTAATTCTGAATTACTCTCACATTTGCTGGGAGCAGTTCCTGAAGAATTTCACCCCCGCCTACCTTCAGCCCACGCTGGCTGGCTTTCTGCTCCAAACCACCTGGAACAGGAAATGCCTCCACAGTTTGTATCCATGGCTAAGAACAGAGCTGGCTGAACTCCTAGTGGAAATAAAAAAAAAAAGAAGAAAAAGAAAGGAAAGGAAAGGAAAGCTGTCACAGTGCCAGGAATAGAAGTGGGTTGACCGTGGGTCAGGTATTCCAGTTGACTCCAGAGCAGGAAGAACTGAAAGAATCCGCTAGCCTTTTGCACCCCTCTGCCAAGAAGAACAAGTAGCCAGGGGGAGAGCCTGCCTCCCACAAGGCCACTCTGACAAGAAATGCCCCTCCTTGCTCCATGGAACACTAACTGACTTCTCTTATGGTGCCTAAAAATCCCAAGATGGTGGGAAAATGTCGTCCTAGATAAGGCTCCATGCTGAAAATGGTTGGATGTTCATCGTGTGACCTTAATTGTAGTCTGGATGGTGCAGAGATCTTATTCTGCCATAGTAGTCAGATAAAAAGTGTGTCTGTCCCCATGGCACTCTGCAAATTTTCCAACAATTGAAAGCAGAGAAGCAAAGGCCACAACGCATGCATCCTTGTCTTTGAATTGTGGTTTAAAACATGTGGCCCCCAGCCCAGGCAAAAGCAGCTAGAGGACTTTCCTCAATAGACCAGAACCTCAGGCCTTTCAGGTGAAATCAAGCCATGGGAGAAATCCCACCCCCTCCGCTGTGAACTGTTATTTGCCTGTAAATCCCAGCATGTATGATCATTTGGATTACCTTGTTGGCTCTTCTCTAGTCCCCACACCCTAGTGTCCGCTTCAGATTGATTTGGTCTTGACAGGCTTAAAGACAAAGATGATGCCTGGGAGCTGAGGAACTGCAGCTCCCAGTGAACGGTGTACACCCACCTCAGGGCGAGCGCCTGGGCAGAACAGCAACTGTTTTCCACAGACCCTGCGCAGGTCCATCACAGAAGAGAGGAGAGCAGCTCCTGCTGCAACCTAAGGCAACAAGAGATGACAGCCCCATCAAGTCACAGAAGCATGATACTCCACATGGAAGCTACCTGTTCGCTCTCAAAGATTACCTTGATACTCCAATAGACCCCAAGACTCAAGTGTCACGCTTTTGAAAGGCATGTCAAGTGCTAAGTTCAGATTTTTAGTCTGTGCAGAGAACAGAACTTAGTAATCTTGCACCTTGCTTGATGACTTCCACCCATCCGAGTCAAAGGGGTTAGAAGCTGTCCCCATGCCTCTAGAAGCTCCTGTTTCAAATTCTGACTGCACTGAGAAATCACAGCAGAAAATATAGACACTGCTGTTCTGAGGACCCTGTTCAGATGAGCAGAGGGCTCTGCACTCAGGGCCTCCATTGGCTTCTCCTCTGTCCTCCCCATAAGTTGCTGCTCCTACTGTGGCTCCCCTGGGACTCAGCAGCTTACCATAGTGACCATCCCTCAACCCTACATGCGCCTCTTATCCAGATGTCCTCCTCGACCCTTTTCCAGCCTTTCCCTCCCAGTTATTGGACTCTGGGCATGGGCCAAGGAGACTTTGAGTTCATTAAGTCACCTGAAACATCTTGCAAAGGTATTCACACACAGCCAGTGGAAAGAGCCACCGGTGTGGGAGGTTACAGGACAGGAACAGTGGCCCAGGAGAGTGTGCTCAGCCTGCGCATCTCCAGATTGCGGAGCTTATGTTTGTAAAGAGTTGAGGTGACTCAGAGGATCCCATAAGAATAGTTTTCTTCCTTTGTCAGCTCTGCCCCTGCCATGACTGGTGTTTTTACAGGCTGGCCTCCTAAACAGGTGACAAACAAATCCAGTCCCCTGAGCTTTAGCTTCAGGTGACACTGAATCTAGAAGCTTCCAATGATGTGACAGGAAGCAGTGTCTGCCTACATCAACACCCCTGTCCTCTCTTGGGGGCTCTCCCCATGTACTGACAGATCAGGGTTATATCTTTGGGCAACACCTAAGAAGAAAAGTACTGCTCTCTAACATGAAAGGTAACAAAGACCACAACTGGACATAGTTCCATACGACTAGAGGGAAAACATATGTTTAAAGAGGTTGGCTGGGAGTAGGGGAAGCCCTTGAAGATGGAGAAACAGAAAGAGGTTAGACAAGTATACTAGACAGTGAAGATGGCCACCTTTAGAGAAACACTGCAGCCCTGGCTCCAGACTCCCAGTCCTAGCCTTGCTCTAAGAAGGGAGGCCATGGGTAACTGCCAAAGGTCAGTGAACCCGGGAGAAGAGAGCTGCCACCCAGATTCTCTGGTCTGTGTGTGACATGTGGGTTCCAGCAAGGGCCTAGGCATGGCTGTGGGTCGCATGTGGCTTCAAGAAGTCTTGCTCATCTCACTGATTCCTGCTTATTAACTGCAAGTGCTCCAGAGACCTCCACCCCAGCCTCAGTGACCATCACCTTCCACCTCCTTCCTGTCACTGCCCACCACCTCTCGCCTCATTTCCTTGGCCAGACCTTCTACTTGCTCCGCTGGCTTCCTGCCATAGGAGATCATCTTAACACGGTAGCCTCCAAGGGTCAGGAGCCAGGTTCCACCTCCAGGTCTGCCACACACTCCAGAACTTTCTTCTTTTCTGGCTGCAGGAGATAAACTCATAGGGTCTTTCTTCCAGGAGATGTCTCCAGTTGCCTGTGTCACCCCCCCCCCTTACACACCCAAGTCCCCAGTATGCCTCCATTGTGGAGCAGATGAAGCTGTGTCATTTCACTCTGTTGTCTGTCTGTCCTCCATACTATGAGTTCCCTGGAACAGTAGCACTCTGTCCTAAGCCCCTTGTCAGAAAACCCTCAGAATGTGGGGGAAGACGGGCAGAGACGCCCTGCTGTTCCACGGACATCCTCAACTTGTTCTCTGTTGGAAGACCTTAGCCCATCATTTTTTGTTGTTGTTCTGGAACTTCCTACCAAGCCACAGTGATTCCTCCAGTCAAGAATATATGATATGAGCATGTGCAAGAAATGACTTCCCAACCCTCCGGTGCAGCTGAAAGACAACCCTGATCTTCACCTAAGATGATATGCCAAGTGTGTGAGGCTTGGTCTATTGGGCCCGGGTCTCATTGCCACAACTTTATAGCTGAGTGTCTTTGGGCAAGTACTTCCATCTTTTTCATCTGACATGCGAGGAAAGTAATTCCAAGAGTCCTTGGCAAGATTAATGGGTAAGAGGATGTGAATGGGGTGCTTCCTAAATAGCAGTTTGCAGGAGCTGATGTTGGAAAAGAAAAATGGGGGAGTGGGGTCCTGTGATCTCACCTCCTTTTCAGTAGCCAGAAAGTCCCCAGCAAAACAGATCTGTTCCAGATAACAGAGTGTTCTCCCTGGCCCCTCCTTAGAGTCTCAGATCCCTTCAGTTCTATATGCAGCCTCCCTGGATATGCTCCTCACCAGTACATCACCATGCTGGACAGTACCCTGCCTGTTCCCTTGGGCAGCTGCGTAGTTGAAATGCCCCAAACTTGCTTCCCCGCTGCATTTGCTGCGACTGGAGCATCACACAGGCCAGGGAGCCGAGGCCAGACCTGCCCTGTGTCCTATAGCTGCCTGTCTCAGCAGACCTCACACTCAAGCTTCTGACCCAGCATGGCTGATAGATTCAGCTTCCAGGGAACCCTTTGAGTCTCCGTATCCTAAACTGGTGGTCAGTGGGTTGTTTCGTTGCTAGTTTCAGCAAGCAGATGGACATGGAAGGGTCTCTGAAATCATTGGCTATAAACTGGGGCCCCAAGGTGCATGGAGAAGTCAGGGGAGTCAGTGCTCCAGCTGTGAACCAGAGTGCACTAGAGTTTCATTGTGCACTATGACCTTAAGACTGTCACCTTGAGTCATCTGCCAGTAAATGCCAGAGTAGATCCTTGTTTACTGTTGTTTGTTTTTCTAAGTAGCAACAACAACAAAAGCTAAGGGCATCAGAAATCTACTGCACAGGGTTCTCCTAAGCAAGGCCATGTGACCCCAGCCTGTACTGTGGGAGGTGGCAGTGCATGGTCACCCTTACCCACCATAAGCTTTGCATCAGAGCTGTGAGTAAGAGAGTGTAGGGGCCGATTGCCCAGAGTTCAGCGCTTACCCCTCCTGGCAGCTGCCAAGTGTTGTCAACACATCTGTGAGTATCTGGGGGTTTTCATTGCCTAAGTGTGCAACAGACTAGCAACACTTCCTAAAGGAATCTCCACTTTCCCTAAGTGGGGGCTGGGGGTACCAGATCCTTAGGGGTTACTGGACTTACAAAATCCTCAGGGAGGTAAGAGGATGAATGCTTACGTTTTTTTCTTCATGGCTAAACAATGCCGTGTGTGTGTGTACTCTACATGTTCCTTATCTATTCATCCGTCAATCAGCGTCTAGGCTGATTCCCTGCTCTACCTGCTGTATTGCTGTGTAGTGCTGATTACATTTCCTGTGGATATTAACAGGAAGTGGTGAAGCCAGATCCTGTGCTGACTGACTCCATGCTTTTCCTGTGAATTTTCCATAATAGCCAGAGAAGTGTCCATTCCCAGCCACACCATGCATGATTTTCTCCTTGTCCTTGCCACCATTTGCTAATTCCTGTTTTATTCATGAGCACATGCTGACAAGGGTGAGCTGGTTTACATCTCCCTCATGCCTTGTAAGAGTGAGGAGTTTAGGTTGGAGGGCTTGTTTTGTATGGTTTGGAGTTTGAGTTGGTTTAAGTACATTGTTTTAATGCTTGTAAGCTATTTGCATTTCATTTTAAAAGAAGTATCTAGCTGGGCAGAGTGGTTGGCACTTAAAGCAAAGAATTGCAGTGAATTTAATGCCTTCATGGGCTACAGTAAAACCCTGTCTCAATTGGGGGGGGCTGCAGAGATGGGGGGAATAAAGCTCTCACTCCTTTTGTAGAGGACCCTAGTTCATTTCCTACTTCCCATACAATGGCTCACAACTGGCTGTGACTCCATTCCTGGCCATCCAGTGCTCTCTTCTGATCACTGCAGACACTATCTCCACACAATGCAAATGAACGCACACAGGAACATACACATGCATGCATATAAATAGAAATTAAAAAGTGAATAAAGCTTATTTTTTGAGGTGCTGGGGATGCAACTCAATTGGTTCAGTGCTTGCCTGGTACACAGGAAGCCCTGGGTTCAATTCCCAGCACTGTATAAAAGGAGCATGATGGTAGACACCTGTAACCTCAGATCTAGGGATAGAACTGGGGAAAACAGAAGTTCAAGGTCTCTCAGCTACATAGGGGGTTTGAGCACAACTGGGCTAGAGATGGTGTTGGTCACTTGGTAATCTTTGGCCTGTCCTTGGCAGCCAAGAGGGTGGAACTGTAGAAGACTGTGTGATATGCAGTAAACTAGACACAGAAAGCCAAGCCCTGTGTGCTGTCTTTCACATGTAGAATAGTGACTATCAATATGTGTATCACACACATAATCAGCTCTCACACTGAACTCCAAAACTGTACAACTAATACTTGTTAATTTTTTAAATCTTGAATGAACGGTTTTACCAAAACTCTAAGCATGTTTTGTGGCCTTGAATATACCAAGGCAGAACTCTTTCTTTCATCAGGTAGGAAGACATCTCCTGCCATGGGTTTGGACTAGATCCTGGCACCTCCAGCCTCCAGCCACTCCCCCAGTCCCATTACTGGAACTGGTACCTAGATAGGCAGCAGTATTGGAAGATGTGTCATCAGCCCTCAAAGTTTGCTTTCTGTGAAGCAGCCTGCTGTCCTTGGTGCCCAGAGAGTATAGTCCTCTCCTCTCACAGCAGGCTCCTGCCTGCCCTCATGGCAGCCTCAGATTCAGGCAGGACACACACACACACACACACACACACACACAATCTCTCCAAAGACAAGCTAAATGGCACTGATTTTTCCAATGATCAACTTCCTTTCTAGCTCTCAAAGACTCCAGTAAGAGATCCATCAACAGCGACTGGAAGATAGAGCTCCCTGGAGAGTTCCAGATTGCAGGTACAACAGTCCGCTATGTGAGAAGAGGCCTGTGGGAGAAGTTTTCAGCCAAGGGACCCACCACGGTGCCGCTGCATCTGATGGTAAGCACTGGCTCTGGACATTTGCGTATGCTGGCATCTCAGCAGGTTTATTATTCTTGTTCCCAGGCCCTGGGTGGAAGGGGATGCCTCTGGTTCCTAGGAGTTTGCAAGGCTCCCTGCTACTGAGGCCTTTCTCTCTTTACCATTATTTTCATTTGTTCATTTATTTCTGTATACACATATGTTTGGTGTGTTTATATGGTGTGTGCATATGGTAAATGAACATGTTCTTTAGGGTATGCAAGTGTGCATTCCTGTACACACTTGTGCACATGTGTGTAGATGCCAGATCAGCAGCGAATATCTTTTCTTGATTGCTGTCTACATTTATGTTTTGAAACAGGAACTCTCACACAAGCCGAACGAAGCTCATTGATTTGGCTAGGCTGACTGGCTAGTAAACTTCATCAATTCCCTTATCTCTGCCCACACCTACAGTTCTGGTATTACACACTCGTGATGTCGTGCCTGGTTTTTTCATGGGTGCTGAGGACCCAAACTCAGCTCCTGCACTTGTGTAGCATGTGCATTACTGACTGTATATGCACAAAACTGACAGAATTGGGCACCTTAATGACATGCACATCACTGACTAGAGCATGCACATTACTGACTGGAACATGCACATTACTGGAGCATGCACATCACTGACTGGAACATGCACATTAATGACTGAAATGTGCATGTAACTGACTGAAGCATGTACATTATTGATTGAAACATACATGTAACTGATTGAAGTATATATAATAATGACTGTCGCATGCACATCACTGACTGGAGCATGCACATCACTGACTGGAGCATGCACATCACTCACTGACTGGAGCATGCACATCACTGGCTGTCCCATGCATGTTACTGACTGAACTGTCTCCCCAGCCCTTTACCTCTCTGTTGATCCTTTTCCTTCTACCTTGGGTTACCTCCCCAGAATCTTCTCATGGCTCCTCACTAGCATAGCACCTAACTTTTTCAAAAGGATATGCTTCCAGGAAGTGATTGGTCAGTCACATGGGCGGCAGCTAGGGACAGCTGGCACCATTAAGCCAACAGTCATTGTCTTACTTTAGTGGGAATCAAACCAAGTGGGAACCAGGAGGCAGGAACTGGAGCAGAGGCCATGGAGGAGAGCTGCTTCCTGGCTTCCTTCTCATGGCTTGCTCAGCCTGCTTTTTTATAGCACCCAGGAAGACCTGCCCAGTGGTGACCCCACCCACAATGGACTGGGTCCTCCCACATCAATCACTAATTAAGAAAATGGCTTTCATTTTATAGAGGCACTTTCTCAGTTGAGGTTCCCTTCTGTCAAGTTGACATGAAACTAGCCAGCAAGCTTTGCTCAGAATCTGTTTTTGTGGCAAATGGCAGCATGCATGGGGCTAACCCATAGCTGAGAAGCATCTTCTGGAAGTGACTGTGGATGCATGTGATGTATGGTACCACTCAGACCAGCAGGATTCTGCTTATGGCCAGGGCTGGGGAATCAGAAAAGAATCAGATCTCATCTTCTGTTTACTCCCCCAGGTAGCCTTAAGAAACCTGTATCCTCAGCCAGGCAGGATGTCAGTGTTATCTCTTAATTCCTAGGAACTCTATGATTGCCACTTAAACATGGGCTCGGTATCAAAGGCCTCCAGGGTGTCGGGCCAGGGCTGCCTTCTCGGGCTCTGAGTGATCTTGTGGACTATGTATGACAATACCCCATAATGGATAATTTTGTGAGGGTGCTAGAGATTGAATGCAGGCCTTGTGCATGCTAGGTGAGGCTTGTTGATTCTGACCTCCTGAAGATCAGGGTTTGTGGCAGTCTGTGCATATGTCATGAAAGCACACATTGTCCAAAGTGCCTGCCAGTCTCCAAAGTTCTTTTGCCCATTCATTTGTGCCCCTGGAGATGAGCTAACACTCAAAAGATTGTCTGGCCACCACCTACTGTGGGTGTTGAGTGTGGCCTGATGAGGGTGCTGACCCCATTGTAGATTCTGCTGAGCTGAAAGCCAGCCAGCTTCCATGTGGGCCATAAACTGTCTGGGGATCTGCCAATGATTCCGTTGGAGATCACTTCTGCAAGTAGATCTCTGGGGCCCAGGGACCTGTCCCAGAGCCATTTCTCCAGGATGAGATGTTTCCCAGTTAAAGCCTTTGAAACAAGCCCCCACAATCATTCTGAGTTCAAATCAAATATTCAGAGGAACACAGAGAGGGAGCTGGAGACAAAATCAGGCCCATGAAGAAACATCAGCCATTAGAACAGGACTTTGCCCTCTCTAACAAACATTGGAGTGTGCATAGCGCCTTTCTTCACCAAAAGCTCTTCTAACCTGTTTGGTCTATGCAGACCACTGAAATCAGAGTATCTCACAGCCAGCTGGACTTTCAGTCCTTATTTAACATTTAATTGCTTTCCCCCTTGAAATGTGCTCTTTACTCCACCTCATGTCCAGGTTCCCTTGCCTCAGCATAGAAAACCATGGTCCCCAAACTGGGTGTGTACATTACTCTCACAATCAGAGGTACTTAGGGAGTCTTAGAGGTCAGCATTTGATACCAACTAGACACATACACTAGTCATACATGGCTATGAAAAATAATCTCTTGTAAAGTGTAGTCAGGTAGTTTTGGTTTTTGTGTTTTTGTTATTTTGTTTCTTTTTTTTTTTTTTTAAGCAGGAAGCATGTCTCCAAGTGCATGACTACAGGTATATTAGCTGAAGAAATAAACATGTATCGAGTCTACCTCTAGAACATCCTTCAGTGCGGCAGCCTTGTAGGCCCAGGAAACATTGGGACAATTCCCTCTGTCACTTGACTCTTCCATCCTGGTCTGCTAGAGCCTAGGCAGGTGGGCTGTGCACACTGCCTTTAGCTCCTTGCTGGGCCCTCTCCTGGATCTCTGTGAGTGGAAATGAACTTGCTAGCTGCTGAGGCCCAGCGACCCTGACTAGTCTACAGCCAGGTCCATCTCCCACAGAAAAGCCTGCTTTGTATCATTGACATATTTACATTATATCTAAAGCCAGTCAGGCACCTGGTGGTCTTACAAGGCTTGTCATGTTTGTTCTCAGGCAAAACCTAGGCTCTTCCATTCTGAACCCTCACAGGATTTCAGGTGCATAGTTCCCACAGGCAAAGCTCAATCACCTCTCTGCACCTCTATCTACCCTGTGTTCAGCCACGAGCCAGGCATCTGCCTTCTAACAGGCATAGTCATCACTCAAGCTCATGGCAGTACCAAGATGCAGACATCCTCAGTATCCTTCACACAGGTCCCCCCAGGTCCCTGCACCACAGGCTGTGTCTTTCCTTCTCTTGAGCCTGACTTACCGCAGGGTAACAGTGACAGGTGACAGGTGACAGAACTGCAGGGTAACAGTGACAGGTGGTGAGAGCCAGCATCTGGAGGACAGCACTTGTCTTGGTTAGTGTTTCTGTTGCAATGAAAAGTACCATGACCAAAAGCAGTTTAGGAATGAAAGGGCTTATTCCATCTTGCACTTCCTCATCTGTTACTGAGGAAACTCAAGCAAGTCAGGAACCAGGAGGCAGGGACTAAAACAGAAGCCATGGAGGAAGGCTGCTGACTGGCTTGCTCCTCATGGTTTGCTCACACTGCCACTCATCTCCCACCTGACATAATAAGCCAGGCCCACCCACCACAGTCATCAGTCAAGAAAATGTCATCCTCCTGATGGGCCAATCTGATGTGGGCATTTCCCCTACTGATGCTTCTTTCCACTTCCCAAATAACTCCAGGGTGGGTCAAGTTGGCATAAACTAGGCAGCACCGAGCTTATCCTCAAAGAACTGGTTCAGCGCCACTCTTGGATCTTTCTCAGAAGAAGCAATGTGTTTGTACCTGTCTCATCTGCGAGCACAACCTTATGGACAAGTTGGTAGGAATGTGGACCCTGCTGCATAACGTAGACAAATGCCACAAACGGCCTGCGGTTCGCCACCCCCCAGGTTCCGCCTGTAAACAGGTCTTCTGTAGAATAGATAAGAACTCAACTCACGGATAATAGTGTGTTCATCCTGCCCACCACCCATGTTTCCAAGGAACCTGAGGCTGAGATAGACACCTCTAGCTTTAACCTGCTTTGATCTTCAGAAGAGAGCTGGCTAGTAGGAAAACAGCCAAGGTAGTTCCCATTCAACCGTCTGTGGGTACTCACTCCATCTCAACAAGGCCTTCCTTTCCTCTGCCTCCAGGTGCTGTTATTTCACGACCAGAATTATGGAATTCACTATGAATACACCATACCCGTAAACCAGAGCACTGACAATCAGAGTGAGCCTGCCAAGCCACAGGATGCCCTCTTTCTCTGGACCCACAGTGGCTGGGAGGGGTGCAGCGTGCAGTGCGGAGGAGGTAAGGCGGGAGAGGTGAGGGAGTAGCTGAAGAAATACTGAATTCAGTGTCCTGTGCACCAGTCCACCCAGTGTAGAAAGAGAATTCGTAGTTCCATAGGAAACTAAACCCTGAAAATCTCAACAGAGCATGTGGGCCATGGGCTGGTGGGCCCAATCTGCTCCTTGGCCTGGAGTTTAACCCTAGCAGTAGAGATTTGCCAGTCATGTGACTATGTGGTAGATATGAAAACAAAAATGGCCCTGGGGATAATTGAAATAGACCTCCAACTTGGTGGAATGGCACCAGCTGAAGACCTCACCCATCTCCAAGTGCCCTGTCCTCTTTGCCATGGTCTTTTACACTAGGAAAGGTACAAAGGAAAGAGTCCTCTGGGTTGGGCAGAGCACACCTTGAGCAAGCCCTGACTCTGCATCTCTCTGCCCTGCCCTGCCCTGCCCTGCCCTGCCCTGCCCTGCCCTGCCCTGCCCTGCCCTGCCCTGCCCTGCCCTAGCCTGCCCTAGCCTGCCCTGACTCTGCATCTCTCTGACCTGACCTGCCCTGCCCTGCCCTGCCCTGCCTCAGCAGAAAACCTGCCCCCTCTGTCCACACCTGCACTTCATCACCTCTAAAGTGTGATGACTGCCCCATCCTTCCGCTGTGGAGACTGCACGTGAGCCAAAGGGACTGTCACGCTGCAAAAACCTACATTAACAAAGGTGCTGTGTCTTCTATTAGGGCATTAAGAAGGAAGACTAGTGAGCTGCCACGTTCCACAAAGAATTCTCCAGTCATGCTAGCAACTGCCATTCAACTCAGTGGGCCACTAAAACAGACACCAAGTTAGGGGAGGGCTTGTTGGGAAGAAGGCTTCAGCAATGGGTAAGGACCAGAGAGGGTAACAAGAGTGGGCATGACTGAAATTCAATGTATCCAACTGAGAAGCCGTCAGAGAACTAAAGAGAGAAATGAAAGCTTTAACATGGAGCAGCAGGAGAACTGCTTTCAAGGAGGTAAAGAAACATGGGCGTGGCTGCTCCATGGTATGGGAAGGGTTTATTGTAGATAAGAGAGAGAAAATATCTAGAGGCATCTGGAAGAGTCCAGAGCAGAGAGAAAGAAGTAGACAAGACATGACCAGGGTGAGAGAGAGAGAGAGAGAGAGAGAGAGAGAGAGAGAGAGAGAGAGAGAGAATAGCAAAAGATAGGAAGAGAATAAGAAACAGTAAGTTTGAGTAATAGGTAAGAGATGCCTCTGGGCCAGGGACATTTGTCACTCCAATAAGGTACTCAGGAGGGTCATGGGAGATGACACAAAGGATGGTGGGTAAAACAGGACAGAGGATTAATGAGAACGCTCAATGCCTACCCATAGAGTGAGGGTGGTAGGCTAGAACCCAGGGCAACCCCACCCCTCCCTGCTGTGGAGTGGCTTGACTACGAAGATGATGTCGTCATACATGCAGCTTGTGTGGCATTGGTTAACACTTAGGGACTCATCCCATTGTTCGTGGGAGATTAGAGACATGGTGTGATCAAGTCCTTCGGTCGTCGTTCCCCCCCACACACACACACTCACTCCATGTATCTCAGCTAACTGCTCACACCAAATGCTTCTGCAAACTGTGACAACTGGCACAGCTTCCAGATGCCACCATCAGCCCTACCAGAGCACACCTTTCCAGATCTCTTGTCCTGGGGCCTTCAGTAGTCCCTTGTGCTGTCATCTCAGTTTCGGGGTCCATGCCTAGGTCTCTAATCATGGCCAGACATGCCTCTGGGCCAATTTTCTGTAGACAACCCCCAGTCAGGGGAGCCATGGCAGGCTGTGCTCCACTAGGAGCTCTGAACTAAGCCACAGGCACAGCTGCCTGGTGCAATCCCTTTGTGGCACCAGTGACTTCCAGCCCCCATGAGGCCTGACGCTGTATTTGATAGCCCTTTGCTTTTATGTTCATACATGACTACATTCCTGGGCCATAAGACAATGTGGCTTAAGACTCCCCATTTTTTTAGTCATCCCTGCATGACAAATTCCTCAAACAACAGATCTTACAAAGAAGCTGGGGGCTCAATAGTTGTTCTTGACCCCCTGTTCATCCTTTACGGTCACTTTTCCCAAGCCACATCAGTGACACTAATACAGCAACATGGAAGTGTCAGAACTGCCTCATCCTAGAGCACAGCGGGTGAAGCAAGCTGACCCACTTGGGGAAACTGAGATACAGAAGCACGGTGGCCAGCTGTTGATGCTATGGCCACAGTGACCCTGACAGTGGCAAAGCCAAGAGGCTCCCAGGCAGCTGATTCCAGGGGCCACCCTCCCCCATTACCATCACTCAGTTTCCAGACAAAGTTGTAGCCACCAGGAAGGCTGATGGGCTTGCAAAGCTGCCCAAGAGTATGTGGACACTGCAGAGTGAAGTAAGCCTGTATGTCCATCACAGCAGCCAATTGCTCCTCTCGAGAAGCAAGCCTGTAACAAAGTGGGGGGCATGCTCTCAGTGGTATAAGGTGTGAGTGGGACCAAATCGCCATAGACTTTAAATCTCACACATGCAGATCAAAAGATTAGCAATTTCTGAAAGCCCCAAAGCTATCCAAGGACACAGCTGACCTGAGGGTCCTGCTGCTTTCTCAGATCATTCTAGAATTTACCCTGCTCCATACAGCTCTGCTGTGACTTAAACACCCCATCCTTAAGAGAACATCTCCCCCACTTTGACAACTGATATGGCTCACTCACTGATTGGTAATTGCACCCAAACACCCCTCCGTAAGCTTAAGTGGCTTTCCAGGTATGGGCATCCATAACCCTCAGTTCCCGTGGTTTGGCTTCCAGGAGAACGAAGAACCATTGTATCATGCACACGGATTGTTAACAAGACCACAACCCTGGTGAATGACAGTGACTGTCCCCAAGCAAGTCGCCCTGAGCCCCAAGTCCGAAGGTGCAACTCTCATCCATGCCAGTCCCGGTAAGTCTCTGTGTTCTGTGGCTTGGACCACCAGCGTGTTGGATAGCACCACCCCAGATGAGGGGGTGACAATACACAGTTAACACCACAGAGCCAGGCTATGCCACATTCCGGCAGTGTGGCTAGTGTTTGTTTCCTTGCTCAAAGTGGCTATGTTGCTTGACAATGGGTTTAGACAACATAATGTTTACTACACAAGTAGGCTAACTGCATAGGTGTGTTATAGTTTATTGTTCTTAGGACATGAACAAACGGGAACGTTAATTTAAGCATAAAAATGATAGAATCAGTAGACACAGAATGGGTAGGCTGGTGCTGTTCTAACATGAACTTCTCTACAGTGAACAATATTTTCAAATAGGAATGCATTCTAAAATAACAATAATAATAATTATAGCATAATAAGTACATGAACCAGTAACTTATTATCACTTGTTATCATTGTCAGTAGTGTGTACTGTTCTATGTGTTGGGGCTGGGAGATGGATCAGTGGGTAGAGTGCAATCATGAGGACCTGAGTTTGGGTCCTTAGCACCCCTGTAAGAGAAGGGAACATCTGTGTATGTCTGTAACCCCAGAACTAGAGGGGTGTGTGCAGACAGGCAGATACCCAAGGCTTGGTGGAACCAATCCAGCCAGTTGGTGAGCTCTAGATTCAACAAGAGACACTGTCTCAAAGTAAAATACAATAAAGTGATAGAGGGAGTTACCCAATAATGATCTCTAACCCCACCATGAGCATGCATAGACAAGTATACTACGTGCATGCCACATGGATATCCCAGCCCTTCCCAGTAATAATAAATGTGACAGCACAGTAGGTTTGTTTCCATGAGTGTTGGCACACACATGATGTGTTGCACTGTGACATGGCGGAGGTGATGGAAATCTTTCAACTCCATTGTAATCTTACAGCGCCACTGCTGTGTTCATGGTCTGTGACCAACTGAAGTACCATGACACAGTACTGTCTGAACTTCTGTCTTCTAAGCCAGAACACTAATAAAAATATACTGTCCTAGCTGGAGGGCAGCTTTCAGGTCAGGACTGACAACAGCTCACAGAGGAAGCGTTGCTATGGGCACATATTTTTGACTGGTACTCATGGGCTCCTCTAAATTGCTTGTCTTGGAGGAAGGGGAAATGAGTGCTAGAATCTGCATCTAAGATAAGGATCTGCAGAGGTTAATGGCTGTGGCTCACCCATCTCTGTGAGCATTTGTTGTTGTGTGGAAGCTCTCTGTACTACTCTGCCAGACCCAGCTAAGGCCATGCTGCCCATGTGTTCTGGCATATAATCTGGAGTTCTGGGCAAGCTATGTGGTGTGTTCACCAGTTCTACACACATTTCTTTCTAGTTGCTTCAGTGGACAAAAGCATGGTACCCAGTGACTCTGATGCATTGCATGATGTTGCCCCTCTAAGTTAAGCAACTAGTTTTTTGCCTTGTGGCCCTGACCATCACGTCAAGACATATTTATCTTTGCTTTTTTATGTGTAGACTTTGGAATCTTTTAAGCTCAGTGTGTACCCCTGGCCTGATTCAGGAGTCTCACAATGTGTCTGACTTTTGTACCAACCCCCTTTGCTTACACAGTTTTATTTTTTAATTAAGTGTGTGTGTGTGTGAGCACACGTACACATACTCCATGGCACATTGTAGAGGTCAAAGGGCATCTTTCATGCACTGATGATTTCATTACCACGTGGGCCCTGAGTATCTAACTCAGGCTGTTAGGGTTGGCCCAGGCACCCTTATTTGCTGAGCCATCATAGCATAGTCACAGCCTTTTGTTAAGCTCTTATCATGTGTTTAAGATGGAACAACAAGCAGGTGGTGTTCCTTACGTGGATTTTGGGAGATCCTTAAAAAATAAAACTGAAAGCCTACTTTCACACTAAAGGCTTTTGAGGACTCATTCAGAAAGTCTGCATGTGGTTAGTTTTGAATGTCAATTTGCCACAACCTAGAATCACTAAGAAAAGATCTTCAGTTGGGAAACTACTTAGATCAGCTTGGCTTGTGGGCCAGTCTGGAGGTAGGGAAGCATTGTCCTGATTGTTAATGGATATGGGAAGACCCACCCTGAATGAATGTGGGCAGCCCCATGTCACGGACTGGATCCTGAACTATAAAAGAGTCTGTGTGTGGGTGGGGTGGGGGGACTCAGAGAGGCCAGGCAGCTTGGGAGCATTCATCTCTCTCTCTGCAGTTGACCCAGGTTGTAAGATGACTAGCTGCTTTAGTTCCTAGGGGCCTGGAATTGTGAGCCACAACAAGTCCCCTAGTTGTATATTTTAAGGATTGGCAGCCATACTTCCAGGCCATCTTCCAGGCCCTCCCTCAGCTGTGGGGCCAAAGAAGGAAGATTTAACAACTGTAAAACCTCAGTGATTCATGAGAGGTTGGCCCTATCTCAACTTGATATACCAGGCTTTGTTGACTCCCCATGGGAGGCCTTACCCTTTCTGAGGAGTGGATTGGGAAGGGGGGTAGAAAGGAGGTGAGGGGAGGGAACAGGAGGAGAGGAGGAAGGGGAGGAGAAATCATGGTTGACATATAAAATAAATAAATAATTAAAAAAATAAAAAGACAAATGTAAAATTAAAAAAAAAAAAAAAAGAAAAACAAAAGCTCAGTGATCAGACCGGAGGTAGTCTCTCTTCCTGAAACTGAAGATGGTCTACCCCTAGAAGAATGAGCAAAGAATGGGGTAAAGAACTCATTCATGACACAGAGAGGTCAGGATAGGCTCAAGAGAATTATTTAAAAAGCCTTAGGGATGCCTTCATGAATTGTATTTTCTGATCAGTGTTTTCAAACTACTTTAACACTTGATTTTTTTTTTTTTTTTTTTTTTTTTTACATTATGCACAGAAAACAAATAGAATAACACGTTTCCTCAGCAAGTACCCCTTCTCCCACAATAGGCCCATGGCTTCTCTGTGGGACACAAAGGCATAGGGATTAAATGCTGCCAATTAAAGGATTTACATGCTGTAATGATGGAGCAGTAGATAACGACAGGAAACTCAGGAGGACGTACAAAAAGCAACTGTTTGAACAGAAATTGGAGTGGAGGATATGAACCAGGAGGCCAGAATACAGTTCCTAATTATGACAACTTGTCACTACATGGACACTATATTAGCTACCTTTGATTGCTGTGACAGGAACAGCTTCAATGAGCACAGATTGCTTGTGGCTCATGACCTCTGAGGGTTTGCAGGTGCTGTGGCTAGTGTAGGAAGCATGGTATTGCTCATGGCTGTGGCTGGAATATGTGATAACACTGTGGGGCCATACAGAACAGGAAGAGTGCTGGAACCAGGGGACCAGGACCAGGACCAGGCTGTGGCCTTCAGTGTCCTTCCCCACAGTAACTTACTTCTACCAGCTAAGCTTCCGCTCCTAAAGGTTCTATAGCCTCCCACGGTAGTACCACCAGCTAAGGGTCAAGCATTCAAAACATGAACTTATGAGGAAGGTTTCAGATTCAGACCTTAACAGAGGCCCAGCTAGAGCTGTGATGGGCTGTGACTGAGCTCCCCACACATGCTCAGAGTGACCATAGCAGCTGGAAATTGAGAAGGTAAAAGGTGCAGAAAGGAGAGAGATCCCACAGATGTCCTTGGCTTCATCCTTAAGGTAAGACAAGGGGGGACAGATTTCATCAAATAGAGCTGAGGGCATGAGAACAGAACTAATATTGAAGCTGCTTCCCATCACAGCGACCTGTGCTTGGAGTAGTAGCACAGCCATGTGTGCTGCCTGCTAAGCTGGAAGTTCAGGATTCTACCATGATGCTCTAGGGATGTACCACCCAATGTGAGAGCCAGTAGCTGGTCCAAGGTGAAATTTGCTGTGACATAAAATATGTGAATGAAAATGCCAGATTTCAAAGGGAATGAAGCTGTAAATATCAATGATTTCAGATTGTAAGATAATTTAATGATACGAAATGGTATGGCGTAGCTTGTAATCATCCAGAATAACTGTGTTTTAAATATGTTGGGAGTGTGTGTGTGTGTGTGTGTGTGTGTGTGGTTATTATATTCTAGGTATTTATGCATTACTAGGCAGAGCACTATGACCCCATGCATGTGTGGAGGTGAGAAAACGCTGAGCAGTTGGTTCTCTCCCTCCTCTCTGAGTCCCAGGATCGGAACTTACACACTCGGGTTTGAATGACGCATTTACGTGCCACTCCACTGGCCCAATTGATGTTTTCTCAGTTTGGTGGTGTTTGTTTTGCAGTGCTGGGGACCAAGCCAAGGGTCTCGCCTACGCCTGCTTAGTGCTCTACCCATGAACTATAGCTCCCACCCTAGAATATACTATAGAAATGAAATTTTTACTGTTCTAATGAAATGAATGGGCACAGGAATCTGTCTTTCTGACTCTGTCCCCCTATGCTATGTTTTTAATATAACATTTTTATTCGGTTTCCAAAAATGTTCAAATTGGGCAGTGGTGGTACATGCCTTTAAACCCAGCACTCAGGAGGTAGAGGCAGGTGGATCTCTGTGACTTCTGAGCTGGTCTACAAAGCAAGTTTCAGGACAGCCAGAGCTGTTACACAAAGACATACTGTCTCAAAAAAAAAAAAAATCATACACATACACAACACAGTTCAATAATATTCACTCTCTACTTCCCCCCCCAACTCCTTCCAGATCTACCCCCTACCCTTCATCCCTCCCAATATCATATCCTCATTTTTTAAAAATAACCCACTAATTCCAATTTGTGTTGCCCCTATACTCATGGAACATGATCAACCTTCCAGAGACTGTACACTTAAAGACTCTCCCCCATCAACAGTCTGTAGCCCCTCCATTAGGAGGAGGGCTCACAGGCCCCTCCAGGCTCCAGGCTAGGATGTCACTTATGTAGGCAACCATAGTCTGCAGGGAGCTCATGCGTGCAGCAGTCCTGTCGTGCCCAGAACACGCTGCTGCCATTTGTTTCTCCCCAACCTCCTGCTCTTACCTCTTT